ATTCTCTAAAAAAAAAATTAAAGTGAAACACAAAGAATAAAATATTATACACAGAATAAGGAATGTGAAACTGAAACAAAAAATATTGGACTAAAATAAACTAAAAATTTTGCAATAACAATTAAAATCAAAAATTACTGCACAACACAACATAAAAAAAACTTCTGAAGAAAAACAATTAAGGGGAGACATTCTTGCACAAGAATCATTGCAAAATGTGCAATATTGCAATAAAAAAAAATTTTGCAACACAAAAAAAATTTTTAAAAGAGTAACAAAACAATTTTATCAGGAATGAATGTTTGAACAATTTAACTCTTAATTGCAGTTTAAAGAAACATTGAACAACAAATGAATGATTTACTTTAAAAAAAAAAGAAAAAATTTGCACTAAGATGAATTTTTTCAATGGAACATAAAAAAAAATGAAGGGCAAAATGCAAAACAGAGAAAATTTAACATCACAATAAGCGAACAAAACCATCAATATATGCACAATACTGTGAGAATTTTCTTGCAAAAAAGGTCTTGGGGTGAAAAAATTGGAAAAAAATTCCCTTTTGCTTAAAACAAAAAAATGGCACATTGTTGGAGATAAGACAAATTAGACCTGGCTAAATGAAAAAATAACACAAAATGTTCAACACACAAAAAAAAGGGGGAAATGAATAAAAAAAAATTCGCGGGGACATAAATGCTGGGAAAAAAAAAATAACTGAGACAACACTGAGTTTGATCAGAAAATGAGAAACAAGTTATGAATTATTTTTCACTGTATAAATTACTAGACAAGGAACCAATCCGTGAACACAAGATAATTGTGAAGTGTAAACAAAAATTTTTATACTGCTTATATATTGCACACAACAGCAAAAAACAGAAAAGACTTCAGTATATAAAAAAAAGGAATACAACACAAGAGACATAAAATTAACCCAAAAATTTAAAAAACGCTGAAAAAAAAAATTTAAAATTTTGCAGAGTGAACACTGGTTAGTCAAGAGTCACTGAATGTTACTGAAAAATCAGGGAAAATAAATGTCATTTTGAAATCCGAAAAAAATTGTCTCAACGCTCGCAAATGCTCAAAAAAAATTATTTTATTATCACTGTAGCAACGTTGGGGAAAAATTTAGGGTAGTGGGAGTCTCAGGGCTTTTGGCGTCTCCCCGCTACCCCAACACTCAACGTCTCGAAGAATTTGCAATTTGCGTTAAATCGACGATAAATTCACACAGGGGGCTTTTCGTTGGCATACAGGGACGAAGGAAAAATCTTGCATCTGACCCCTATGGGTCCGAAAATAAGGTGCTGGGCCCCATTAAAAGGAAATAAAAACAGGGGTGATATGGGGGAAAGTGTGGGTGGTTGCAGCGCGCGCGAACACCACATGGGCCACGGATAAGCGGGATAAGCCATGCTCTGGGTACACCCAATTAGGGGACGAAAAAATTCTAAAACCAGGCGGGTTAAAAACCCCCAAAATACCACAACACCACAGGATGGTAAAGCACTCAAATAACTTAGAACGGAAGCGCAAGCGAGGGGAAGGTTGGAACCATTACTTCTTGAGTACTGGATTAGTCACCCGGGTTAGTTGGTGGGTTGCTTGGCTTAACCCTTCCACGACTGGCTTGAGAATTTAAAAAATGGCAAAAGCAAGGGTGGGAAAACTGGCTTAGAGGCAAGGCTGGTACTTAGGACGGGTGGATGGTGTAGGCTGACTCCCCCCCCAAGGGTGGGTTGGGGGCTTTGGCTTAATTTGCAAACCCGGGGCAAACCCCCGGAAGTAATGCAAATAGCAAGAAGACACAAGGACTGCCAAAGTAGTGGTGGGGGCTGGCTGGGTGTGAATGTCACTATCTCGGGGAGACCAAGGGGCAGGAAATGGCAACCGGCTCATAAAAAATTTTTCAAGAAAACCCCCTGTAATCGTCAGAATTTCGGGCCCCTGCGGACCATTTGTTGTGAGGGTTCATGGAGATGTATGTTGGGGTTAAAACACTTGGGATGGTAAACTTATTTTAGCACAGACCAGCCTGGTCTGTCCTGTTGCCTGGTAGGTCTACGGTGAACTGAGAATGAGACCGGGAGCGCAGACCTCACAATGGCATAACGTGACATGACACAAGCTAGTCACTGAGCCTAGCAAGGGGTCATGTATGTAAAACATATGGATGGTACTAACTATAATACTCAGATAAGCTATACAACACATGTATTGGATCAGTAACTATGCTGACACAAGAAGGCCTTCGACACAGTTCCTCATTAGAAGATTAGTGCAGAAGCTAGAGGATCAGGCACATATAATAGGGCACTGCAATGGATCAGAGAACACCTGATAGGGAGGCAACAACGAGTTATGGTACATGATGAAGTATCACAGTGGGCGCCTGTGACGAGCGGGGTCCCACAGGGATCAGTCCTAGGACCAGTGCTATTTTGGGTATATGTGAATGACATGATGAAAGGGATAGACTCAGAGTGTCCCTGTTAATGAGGAGAATTAAATCAGATGAGGATCAGGCAGGACTACAAAGAGACCTGGACAGACTGGACACATGGTCCAGCCTGTCCCAAATATTCACCTCCTCTATATTCTCTCCCTCCAATCTGATATCCAATCTTTCGTTACCTAAATCTTTCGTTATCCTCATCACATTACTCTTTTCTATATTTACTTTTAATTTTCTTCTTTTACATACCCTACCAAACTCATCCACCAACCTCTGCAACTTCTCTTCTGAATCTCCCAAAAGCACAGTGTCATCAACAAAGAGCAACTGTGACAACTCCTACTTTGTGTTAAATTCTTTATCTTTTAACCCCACACCTCTTGGCAACACTCGAGCATTCACTTTTCTTACAACTATAAATATATTGAACAACCATCTATAAATATATTGAACAACCACGGTGACTTCACACATCCCTGTCTAAGGCCTACTTTTACTGGGAAATAATCTCCCTCTCTTCAACATATTCTAACCTGAACCTCACTGTTCTCGTAAAAACTCTTCACTGCTTTCAGTAACCTACCTCCTATTCCATATATATGCAACATTTGCCACAATGCCTCCCTATCAAATGTCTTTTCCAAATCCATACATGAGACAAAAATCTCTTTACCCTTATATAAATACTGTTCACTTATATGTTTCACTGTAAACACCTGGTCCACACACCCCCTACCTTTCCTAAAGCCTCCTTGTTCATCTGCTATCCTATTCTCCGTCTTACTCTTAATTCTTTCAATAATAACTCTACCAAACACTTTACCAGGTATACTCAACAGACTTATTTCACTATAATTTTTGCACTCTCTTTTGTCCCCTTTGCCTTTATACAAAGGAACTATGCATGCTCTCTACTAATCCCTAGGTACCTTACCCTCTTCCATACATTTATTAAATAAAAGGACTAACCACTCCAAAACTATATCCTCACCTGCTTTTAACATTTCTATCTTTATCCCATCAATCCCGGCTGCCTTACCCCCTTTCATTCTGCCACTGCCCCACGCACTTTCCCCACACTCACATGTTACTCCTCCTTGCCCTATACACGAAATCACAGCTTCCTTGTCTTCATCAGCACTTAACAGCTCAAAATATTCCCTCCATTTTCCCAATACCTCTAACTTTTCATTTAATAACTCTCCTCTCCTATTTTTAATTATCAAATCCATTCATTCCCTAGGCTTCCTTAACTTGTTAATCTCACTCCAAAACTTTTTCTTAATTTCAACAAAATTTGTTGATAACATCTCATCTACTCTTCCATTTGCTCTGTTTACATTGCTTCACCACTCTCTTAACTTCTTTTCTCTCCATATATTCCTCCTCCTTGCATCACTTCTACTTTGTGAAAACCTCTCATATGCTAACTTTTTCTCTCTTACTACTCTCTCTACATCATCATTCCACCAATTGCTCTTCTTCCCTCCTGCACCCATTTTCCTGTAACCACAAACTTCTGCTGAACATTCTAACATTACATTTTTAAACCTACCCCATACATCTTCGACCCCATTGCCTATGCTCTCATTAGCCCATCTGTCCTCCAACAGTTGTTTATATCTTACCCTAACTGCCTCCTCCTTTAGTTTATAAACCTTCACCTCTACCTTACTTGCTGCTTTCATTTTCCTTGTATCCCATCTACCTTTTACTCTCAGTGTAGCTACAACTAGAAAGTGATCTGATATATCTGTGGCCCCTCTATAAACATGTACATCCTGAAGTCTACCCAACAGTCTTTTATCTACCACAACATAGTCCAAGAAACTTCTGTCATTAAGCTCTATATCATATCTTGTATACTTATTTATCTTTTTTTTTTAAATATGTATTACCTATAACCAAACCCCTTTCTATACTAAGTTCAATCAAATGCTCCCCATTATCATTTACACCTGGCACTTCAAACTTACCTACCACACTCTCTCTAAACGTTTCTCCTACTTTAGCATTTAGATCCCCTACCACAATTACTCTCTCACTTGGCTCAAAAGTTCCTACACGCTCGCTTAGTATCTCTCAAAATCTCTATTTCTCTTCTACACTCCTCTCTTCTCCAGGTACATACACACTTATTGTGACCCACTTCTCGTATCCACTTCTCGTATCCGACCCTTATTTTAACACACATAATCCTTGAATTTATACATTTATATTCCCCTCCTCTCCTTCCATAACCGATCCTTCAACATTATTACTACCCGTTCCTTAACTCTAACTCAGATACTCGTGACTTAATCCCATTTATTTCTCCCTAGGGATGTTAGGAAATATTTCTTCAGCAATAGAGTTGTCAGAAAGTGGAATAGTCTGGAAAGCAAGGTAGCAAAGGCAGGTGCTATACATAGCTTTAAGAAGTGTGATAAATCTCATAGAGCAGAGGGAGAGCGGACCTAGTGGCAACCAGTGAAGAGGCGGGGCCAGGAGCTATAAGTCGACCCCTGCAACCACAATTAGGTATGTATACACATTACTCACCAATGCAGAAGTTACCGTCGACGTAACTGTCAGGTTCTCCAGGAGAGAAGTGAAAGTATCCAACGGGTGATCCATCAAGCCAGTAGACGTACTGAAGGTTCTGCATGCCCAGCCACACCCGAGCCTCTCCAGACAACGACTGCTCAAGCAACCACACTGAGACACATGACATACTGCTCAGGCTAATAAGGGTCAGGCAAGAAGTCAGGCAAGAAGTCAGGCAATTAATTGACTAGGCTAGGAACTGGTTCATGAACTGAAGGCAGTGTTTATGTTAGAATGGAAGAGCACTGCAGCAGGCTTGCTGACAAATGCTAGGCAGGTTCAACTCATACCAATACTTACATTCATTATTTTAAAAGCTACACAAAGTTTGTGCTGCAATGACTCTATCTGGGAGCTTCATTTGTCAGACTTGAACCAATTGTTACTTACTGTTTTTAATATTAGATATTTGCAGTAAGTTATTTACATACCCTTATTTATTTTCCTAATTTCACGGCTTTCCATGGAATATACAAAGAAATTCTAAATGAGGTCTTACTAAGCATATAGAAGTTGAAGGGATTACCTGAGGACTTATTTTTTTATGCTTCAAGATTTGAGATCAAGAATTCCCTTACACCACGGAACAGGTAGCGTTTGAACCTACGGTGAGTAAGTCCTGAAACTCCAGGCCAGTGCACAAGCCACTGGGCCAGCTGGCTGCAGTAAGATTCATCCAACTAGGTATATTTATACACAGGAATATTAAAATAATAATAATAATAATAATAATAATAAAAAATAATAATAATAATAATAATAATAATAAATAATAATAATAATTTAAAAATAATAATAATAAAAAATAATAATAATTATCTTTATTTCTACAGGTACTGTACAAGTATACAGTCCTAGCTGAAAATCAATGACATACTACTATATAGAAAGTCACTTATTATGCAGAGCATTTCAGGCAAATTAGGTCAGTTTTGTCCCAGGATGCGGACCCACACCAGTTCACTAACACCCAGGTACCCATTTTATACTGATGGGTGAACAAAGACAGCAGGTGTCTTATGGAAACACGTCCCTAATGTTTTTCAGCCGTACCGGAGATTCAAACTCCGGAACTCAGTGTGTGAGCTGAGATCCCAGCTCGAGCTACGGGACAGAGCTTGCTTTGGGTCTCACAGTGATACAAATGCAATTTTTTTAAAAATCCCCCCCAAAGCCACGCTGAAGGGTATTCACCCAAAAACATTGCTTTTTGGGGTACATTTTGGTGCCCCACGTTAACTTTCCCTAGGTTATAGAAATATACTATTTGGACGAACGTTTACAGCAGGTGGCCAAGTAGCTTTCGCACTGCTCTGGAGTTTTAGATCACTCCCACGGGTTTTAAAACCCCAAAAAGTTCCGTGGACCGGAAATAAGTGGAAGGTTCGGGCAGACAACCAAAACTCCAACGGCGGGGGCATGACCCGGTCAGGAAACATTTGTCTGTTTTCTTAGGGAAATTTCGTAACCTATATTTCGTGGTTTTTTTGTATCTGTTTTTTATTTATATTTTATATATATATAATATATATATATATATATATATTTTTTATTTATATATTATATATATTTTTATATATTTATATATATAACATATATTTTATATTTTATTTTTATTAAAATATATTTATATATATATAATATATTAATTATATAATATATATTATATTTAAAAATTATATTAAAAAAAATTTTTTAAAATAAATATAATTTTATTTTTATTTATAAATAAATAATATAATAAATAATATTAAAAATATCAAATTTTTAAATAAATTTTATATTTTATATTAATTATATATATATATAAATTTTAAAAAATTTTTATTTATATACAAAAATTAAATATTTTTTTTTTTTTTATTTTAATTTTCACACCGGCGATTCCCCCCAAGGCAGGGTGGCCAAAAAAAAAAAACTTTCACCCTCATTCACTCCCTCACTGTCTTGCAGAAGGGTGCTTTACAACAGTTTTTAAAATGCAAAATTAACCCCCCCTTCAAGTGCAGGCACGTACTTCCCATCTCCCGGGAAAAAAGTCCGGCCTGCCGGTTTCCTTCCCTTTATAAAGTTACTTTGTCACACTCCAACAGCACTCAATTTAAAAACCATTTTCCCTTCACTCCTATCAAACACGTCACGCAAGCCCGGAAATCCAAACCCCCTCGCCACAAAACCTCCTTCCCCCCTCCCTCCAACCCTTCCTAGGCCGACCCCTCCCCCCCCCTTCCCATTTCAGATGATCACTCTTGAAGTCATTCTGTTTCGCCCTTTCTCTTACATGTCCAAACCCCCCTCAACAACCTTCCTCACCCCCTGGACAACGTTTTGATATCCCGCCCCTCCTCCTAACTTAAAAACACGAATTCTCTGCATTATATTCACACCCACATTGCCCTCAGACTGACATCTCCACTGCCTCCCCCTTCTCCCGCGCAACATTCATCACCCCGCTTCACCCATTAAGAGCTTTGGGAAAAACTTAACTCTATACATTCCCTCTTTGCCTCCAAGGACAAAGTTCTTGTTCCCGACCCCTAAGTGCACCCTCACTTTTTTCCCCTCATAATTCTAGATTCCCCTCTCTTTAAGACCCTCGGAACGTCCACCCCCAAATATCTAAATAGTTCACCTCCCCATCCTCTCCCTCCAATTGATTTCAATCTTATCCCCTAATCTTTTTGTTACCCTCAAAACCCTTATTTTCCCGTTTTCCCTTTAATTTTTTTTTTTGCAACCCTACCAAATTTTCCCCCAAATCTCTGCAACTTCTCTTCAGAATTCCCAAGAGCACAGTGTCATCAGCAAAAGCACTGTACAACTCCCATTGGTGTTTTGATTCTTTATCTTTTAACTCCACGCCTCTTGCAAAAACCCCCGCATTTACTTCTCTTACAACCCCCCCATAAATTATTAAACAACACGGTGACTCACAATCTTTTCTAAGCCTACTTTACTGGAAAAAATTTCCCTCTTTTCCTACATACTCTAACTTTAGCCTCATACCCCGTAAAAACTTCATGCTTCAGTAACCTCCTCCTACACCATACCTTTAACATTGCCACATTGCCCCCCCTTCCCCCCGTCATAAAGCCTTTTCCAAACCATAAATGCCACAAAGACCTCTTTAGCCTTATAAAAAACGTTCCTTATTTTTTCCTGTAAAACCCCGGTCCCCACACCCCCTACCCTTTTCCCAAACCCCCTTGTTCATTGCTATCCTATTTCCCCTCTTACTTTAATTTTTTTCAATTATAACTCTACCTACACTTTACCAGGTACACCAACAACTTATCCCCCTATAATTTTTCACTCTCTTTTTTCCCCTTTCCTTTATACAAAAGGGAAACTATGCATGCTCTCTGCCAATCCCTAGGTACCCTTTCCCCCTTCATAATTTTTTTTAAAAATTGCACCAACCACTCCAAAAAATATCCCCACCTGTTTTAACATTTCTATCTTTATCCCCTCAATCCCGGTGCCTTACCCCTTTCATTTTTTCCTCTGCCTCACGAACTTCCCCCACACTACAAC